GGCTGGAGGGGGTGAAGCTGGGCTGCCCTGCCCCAAGTAGAGGCCATTCCCTGGTCAGGAGCAGGGCCAAAGTTGGGCCAGCTGGACACCAGCCCCTTCCCTAGAGCTGCTTTGCCCTAAAATTGCCCCCAAAACCAGAAAGCGGTGCTGCTCACGGAAAACAGAGAGTGGGACCTGGCCAAGCATTCCTCCACCGTGTCCTCACCCCCTTCCTGCTCTCTTTCAGCCATTCGCCGGTGAACCTGCAACCGCAGCAAACGGTGTCGGCGCTGTCCCGCCGTGGTTGTGGGGCTCGGCCCTCGTACGCAGCTCAGGGGTCCTTCGGAGGCACTTTCAGCGCTCACCCCAGGTGACTGCTGGCTCCGGCTGCTCGCGGGGGGCCACAAGCAGGAGCGATTTCATTATAGACACTACCAAAGACTGAAGGCAACAACATGACCTATGAAATATTTTTCTGTGCAAGTTTTCCCTTCTCTGTCTGTCATAAGTTGTTTTCCACTCGTTCTTGCCTCGCTACAGAACAGGCAGCTTTATACTGATGCCATTTTATGTATCAATGTGTATATATTGCATATAAAATAATGCACAGAGGTTGATTTTTGGTCTGGTCGGGAGTCTCAGTAGTTGCGATGGTGTGGAGGGCAGCGGGGACAGAGGGGGAATCCACCTCTGCAGCAACAAGGACTTGCTGGCCACCAGTAGTGCCATGCTCTAGAGGCAAAGGGTGACAGCAAGGTGGCAGCTGCCATCACTCAGCTGGATGGCAAAAGGGTTCTTAGCAGTCAGCTGGAAAACAGTAGGTATCTAACAACTCAACTTCCACATCCTTTCCACGCTGCTGTGTCTTGTCCTCCTGTTTGTGCCGGTGATCTGACCATCGGAGCTGGAGGAAGCAGCACTTCAGCCGTGTGACGGACCAAACTCTCCGGCAGCAGCACTGCCTCTCCCCAGCGGGACGCTCGGAAAATGGGTGAGGCTGGAAGGGACTGCTGGAAGTGCCTGGTCCAACATCCATGCCGACCTTTGCAGTTACATCCAATGTCCAAGTCTTGGGTGAACTTCTGCCTGTGCTTAGGTGAGCAGAACAGGGCAAGCCTTTCTGGAGTTGCTGCTTCGAAAGTGAAAGGTGAGCCCATGAAGCACCTACCATTTAATGAATGACATGGGAATCAACAGGATGCACGAGCTTCCTCTAGCATGCATGGCTCATGGCTCTGGGCCCACGTCCAAGAGCAGATCTCTTCTAAAATCAGTTTCAGTTTTGATTTCCACATGATACAGACTCAGGTACAATGAGCCGTGGTATCTTCAAACAGAGAGTGTAAGCCACCATCTGATTTACAAGAGCACCATGCTGCTTGCACCATTGCTACTGTGATGGCTGGTAAACAAACACAACCCAGAATGACTTCTTAACAGAAGGGAAGAGAAAAAAAGAAAGCATTAAGGCTTTTTTTTTTTTGTTACAAATTTAATTCCAGGATTAAAAATGCACTCCAGTTTATCTCTGAGTTAGACTGAAACCAAAAGAAAGCAGTTCTTCAAATGCTGCCTCTCTTCTCCCCTTACGCTTTTCTGCGGGGACAAGGGAAACAGAGTCTGGGGAAACCCCTCGGCTGCCAGTAAAGAAAATGAATTCAGCTGGGAGATATTAATGACTTCCTCCCAGAGCTGATAGTGAAATTTTCCCCATTAAAACAGGCTCCAAGAAAAGGTCCATTTTCTAGGAATAAAGTGTTTCTTTGGGTACTTTTCAGCATCGCATTTCCTCTTCGGGTGGGTCAGAGGGATTTCACCAAGGCATGACATGATGGAATAGGCAGGGATATCCTGGCAGTTTGGTCACTGGAGTTGTTTTCCTAGTGACAGACGTAATGGAAGCGGTAATGCTCAAAAAAAATTAGGAAGAATTGTCCTGTCTGATACAGTTTATATAGTGCATATTCTTCTGTGTAGCAGTGCAGGCCATGCTGACCAGCTCTTGGAAGGCAAGGCAGGGCTAGAGAAAAGGTCTCACACCTCCTTGTGGAGAGCCTGGAGGGTTCCTCTCGGAGTTGGTCTGAAATCCTGCTCCGATATCGACCTGATTTTGGAGCTGGCATGTGACAACAGGTCTTGTCCCACACCCAGGATGACTCTGAGACGCAGTCAGGGCTCTGGGGAGCTGGAGGGCTTCGTTAGGGCTAGACGGGCTGTTCCTGAAGCACTGGGAAAAAGGTCAGTGGTGTCAGAGAGCCGAAGCGCTGCTGTGTGCAAGCGTGGCAAAGGTAACCACCTGCATCCTTGCTGCCATTGCTCTGTGGGGGAAAGAGAAGAGATTTCAGAGAAGAGGAAGGCTTCCAACCTCACACGCAACCCCCTCACATCCAGGGAAGAGAGCAACAATGTGCCCAAAGCATCTCCTGCCACCTCCCTTGCAAGGAAAACCCTTATGGGACAGCTTGTTAAATAGCTGCAACTATGTGCAGTCCCTGTGTCCCTGTGCAGGTCTTTGCTGGCGAAGGACAAGGTTTTCCCCATCTCAGTGCTCCTGTCCCCTGCTGACGGCTCGGAGCCATTGGCTAATCTCTTGTTGTGGACATGGAGCTCCACCAGATTTACAGTGCGCTTGCCGATCCCAGGGCTAGGGAAACTTGGCCTTCACCACACCTTCAGGGCAAGGATGAACCCCAGAGCCAGAAAGTGGGACTGAAGCCAAAACTGAACCCAAAAGTCAGATTGTCACTTCCCACTGGCTGGCAGGGGAGAGGGGTGCTCTGCTAACCCTAGACGGATGTTCCACGGCCTCGGCAGAGGCTCTAAGAGTCAGAAATGGGATCTGACACAACAAAACCCCCAAACCATCCTCACCCGAGACCACAATTAGACTCAGAAGAGAGGTTAAGGCTTGAGTGGGTCTGTGGGAACTGCACCACCCCCCCCGAATCATGCGGTTGGGAAACCACCCCCAATTACGACCTGGGGTTGTGAGCAGAAGCAAAGGGGAGCTGTGGGCAGGAGATCCAGCTATGGGACATTCCTTGCTGACTTCCACTGAAGCTTAGCGCTCAGGTTGTCCCTCCCCAGTGTGATAGCTCAGAACAGTCACAGAGCACAGCCGCCCCCCAAGCGACCGGAGCATCTCGTGAAGGCTCCAGATTCAAAATTGTGATCTCAAAGGCCCAGGGAGGGGACGTACGTGAGTCAAAGGGAGTTTCTTCACAACCAGCGGGGAGCTGCACTGCAGTGTTCCCCTACACTGTGGCACCGAACAGGCGATGGCGGCCCCGTCCTTCGCAGCCTCGCTCATCAGCTCCACCCGAAGGAAACGCTCCTATGAAACAAGAAGAAAAGGGAACACCACCACTCAGAGGGAGCTGAGTTACTGGAACATGTGGTTTCATTATTTTTTTAATCCCTTGGGAAGTGAATTGCAACATGATTTATTTTTTTCTTTAAATAAAATGAACAAAAAAACCCCCAACTCCTGGTGACAGCAAAAAAATCAAGAGAAGCCAGGAGCAGCTCACAAGGAAGGAAGCGAAGTAAGAGCTGGCAACCACTGCAGACAGAAAAGGGAACCTACATGCTCGCACTGAGGTAAGAAGTCAGGATCTGTGGAAGACAACACCCAAACGCAAGGACTGTGGAAAAAAAAGAAGTGCTGCAACCTTGTGTCTTGCTATTGAAATCATAGTGCAGAGCAATGTGAACCGAGGAAAAAATGTGACCTCAGGGTACAGTCCACACCCAGCATGAATCTTAAGTTCAGGGTGAATCTTAGGATAATCTTCTTTTATGCTTCTCTACCACACACATCCCCTCCAAACGTAATCATCAGAGATGAGCAGGTTTTACGCGTAGCGGGTGCTGCCTCTCTTGGCACCTTTTTAAATTGGCAGCACCCCATCCTGCCCGAGATGTTTGAAAGAGGTTTGGATGCAGAAGGTGGGAATGCGACTGCAAGAGCCGTCATTTAGAATCATGGAATCACAGAATAGTTTGGGTGGGAAAGGACCTTTAAAGGCCACTGAGTCCAACGCCCCTGCCATGGGCAGGGACACCTTCAACTAGATCAGGTTGCTCAGAGCCCCATCCAACCTGGCCTGGAACGTTTCCAGGGATGGGGCATCGATCACCTCTCTGGGCAACGTGGGCCAGGGTGTCACCACCCTCAGCGTAAAAAGTTTCTTCCTTGTATCTAGTCTGAATCTCCCCTCTTTCAGTTTAAAGCCATTACTCCTTGTCCTATTGCAACAGGCCCTGCTAAAATGTTTGTCTCCTTCTTATAAGTCCCCTTTAAGTGCTGAAAGGCCACAATGAGGTCTCCCCAGAGCCTTCTCTTCTCCACGCTGACCCCCCGCCCCCAACTCTCCCAGCCTGTCCTCCCAGCAGAGGGGCTCCAGCCCTCCCAGCATCTCGGTGGCCTCCTCTGGCCCCGCTCCACCAGGTCCATGTCTCTCCTGTGCTGAGGCCCCCGAGCTGGAGGCAGCACTGCAGCGGAGGGTCCCCAGAGCAGAGGGGCACAATCCCCCCTCACCCTGCTGGCCACACTGCTGGGGATGCAGCCCAGGATGCCGGTGGCTTTCTGGGCTGCCAGTGCATGTTGCTTTTCATCCCCCAGCACCCCCGAGCCCTTCTTGGCAGGGCTGCTCTCCATCTCTCCACCCCCAGCCTGTGCGGATACTGGGGGTTCCCCCAACCTGGGTGCAGGACCCTGCACTTGGCCTTGTTGAATCTCATGAGGTTCACATGGATCCACTTCTCAGGCTTGTCCAGGTCCCTCTGGATGGCATCCCATCCCTCAGGTGTGTCAACTGCTTACCTTGGAAAGGCTTCACTTACCCCAGCCAATGCTAAAAGGTGCTCCAGGGACTTTGACATCAGCAAATACTTCTTCGCACGTGTCACTGCGACATAGAGCAGGTTCCATTCATCCTCAGGGTACATGCCTAGGTTGGAGGAAAGATTATCAATACCTTTAGAAAACAAGAACAAACAGCTCTGCCATTCTTCTAATGCTTCAGCTAGTACTTCTGGAAGGACACTGTGCTTCTCTGGGAGAGCATGAACCTGCAGAGAAGCACAGCTCTGCAGCACTCTCCTGCAGTTGCCATGCAGTTCCTGATACAACTGATAGCTCCTGCCCTGTTCCACATTCCTCCAGGCAAAGGCAGGACTCTACATGCCCGGAGAAGCAGCTCTCTGCTATGTGTTTTCCCCCCTCCCAGGCACAGACTTGGCCCTGGAGGAGTTTCCTCAGTCTCTAGACTCACTCTGGAGGCTCCTCCCTGCTCACTGGGAAGAGACTGGCTCTTCTGAAGCATGAACTGTGGCACTTCAGCAAAGCAGTGTCTTTCCCAAGCGTGGAGTTGGCCTTTCTCTGTTGCTAGAGGGCTACAAGCTGGACTGTAGGAATATTCCCCTGTCCCTCTCTCGCTGTGAAGGAAACTATAAGATCAATAACCACTAGGACGGCACTTGACAACTCTGAGAAGCACGCGCTCGCAGGACAAGCGCCGGCAGCAAGCTTTGCTTTCCTACTTTCAGATCAAGATAAGTACCACACACAGCCGCCCCCTTACCAATACTGAAGTTAGTTCTTCTCTGGTAATCGCCACTGGGACACGGTACATTCACAAAGTCATCTGCAATCAGCACCGTGTCAAACTCCAGCCCTTTGGCTTGATGGACAGTACCTATTAGGTAATCTGTAACCAGCACACGTTGGGAACAAGAAGACAGAAAGATCAGTCATGGCAGCAATAACGGTACTTTTAATTTCACGAGGCGCCGAGTCAAATGAAATGATTTCATTCTGCATTCATTTCAATTTCCCCAAACATAAATCGGAAGCAAAGCACCTCTATCAGGAATCTAGATGGCTGAAGTCAAGTTTCCTGCCAAGGAAAATGCCTGATAGTCAGCAGCCTGAGCCCCAGCCCCAACTCCCAAACAGGAATGCTCTTTATTTGGTAAATTTTTGACTCAATTGCTTTGTCTCTTCCCCAAATTTTAATCAGCAAGTTGCAGGGCAAATGCAATAGGAATGCCAAAAATTGGGATAAAGTCCTAGGGTTTTTCAACTGTAGGAAATATTGTGTCCAAAGGTTTATTTGCCTCTAACAAAGTCACACTGAACAATCCTTTGGTGGCAGATTCATTGCCTTGAACTCCACTTGGAGTCCCAGATGTACCCCAGAAGCTGCTGTTCAACTTCCTTTCTCCCTAGAGATCGACTTGATCCAAACGGAGCTTTTTTGCAGAACGAGGTCGTTTCTGCAGAACGAGGTTGAAAAAAGATCTGAATTTGCTCCTCTATCAAAGACACCGCTTGGCTTTACCTGCCATGGCTTCTTGTGACACATGGCTGCTCTCAATCTTCTGCACCAGCTCAGGGATCCGCTCTTTGTATTTCTCCACTATCGCAATCTTCACTTCCAGGTCTTTGTCATCGATGCGCTCGGCATATTCCTTTAAACCAAAGAAGCCCTGAGTCTCTTCCCATCTTTTGATAAAGGAGTCATTTATAACAAGGTTCGCTGAAAGGAAAGTAGCAGATAACATGAATTTATTTGACAGACATATGTAATGGCGTTTTTTAATTCTAATCAAATTTCAAAGTATTAGGGAAGACAAGTGTGGGGCAGCAGATGGACCGCCACTGTGAGATGCAGGGTCTTGGGATGAACTCGCTCTGTGATGGGCGGGTTTTGCTCAGGATTTTTTTACTGATGCAAAACATCATCAAAGCTCGATGGTCTCATCAAAGTAGGTAGTTTCACAAAGCAGCATCACTTTGAGATCTAGAGCTGGTGTAAAATGAAGGGTATGGAAGTTTTACCAAGCTCAGGAGCTGGCAAACATTTGCTGAGCTCACTCATTTCTAGAGCGTGTGCCCTAGAAAGTCTGCACAACCTTCGTCCCCTGAGATATTTGGCAATTGGAAGGAAAAGACCCTGAGCAGTCTGAAAAAACTCTAATGTGACTTCAGAGCAGCCCTGGCTGGAGCAGGGACTCAGGGCAGAGACAGCCTCAGGGCCCTTCCAACCTGCATTATACCCTTTTTTTACACAGACCGCAAGGAGTTTTCCTAGTAGGTCACCTTCCAAAGAACCAGTAACAACACCCATATAATCAATCACTCGTGGCAGTTCTGTAAGTTCTTTGTTTCTGTGTCCTATATATAACAATATTTGCCTACTGTTGCCAAGGCAGAAGGAGATTTTAAGTTAATTATTTATTCCCTGAATTGTATCCAGCAGTGAAAAGAAAGTATGCGATACGAAGGTTCAACACACCAGGTTTAAAGACAAAACAAAACAGGAAAAGCTTCAGACAAATGAAAACTTAAGTCAAATCAGAAAACACAGGGAAAAAAATCCCAATCTAGGAGTTGCTTGCGTGCAAGAGCCCAGTAAAAGGCATCGCAGAGGAAAGCTGGGGAGGGCTGCATGACACAGGCCCCAAAATTTCAGCATTCCTGGTATTAACACCAGCCACTGAAGCAGCCGGAATAGCACAGCCCATGACATTACCCTTGAGAAGTCCATTTTCAACAGGTAACTGCATATGGAAATATAAAATAAAACACTAAGAAGCGTGTTGCATTCCATCACTGCAGCAAAAACTAAAAAATAAAAAAATAAATCTGTGCAGCTGTAAGGAAGATCACTCACAGAGAGAAGGGAGTCCCTCTGCTCCGCTCTGGGGAGACCCCACCTGGAATATTGCCTCCAGCTCTGGAGCCCCCAACATAAGAAGGACATGGACCTTGGGAGAGGGTCCAGAGGAGGCCATGAAGATGTTCCAAGGGCTGGAGCCCCTCTGCTGTGAGGACAGGCTGAGAGAGTTGGGGTTGTTCACCCTTGAGAAGTGAAGGCTCCGGGGAGACCTTATAGTGGCTCTCCAGTATCTGAAGGGGGCCTACAAGAAAGCTGGAGAGAGACTTTTTACAAGGGCATGTAGTGATAGGACGAGGGGGAATGGCTTCAAACTGGAAGAGGGGAAATTTAGATTAGATATTAGAAGGAAAATTTTCACTATGAGGATGGTGAGGCACTGGAACAAATCGCCCAGAGAAGCTGTGGGTGCCCCATCCCTGGAGGTGTTCAAGGCCAGGTTGGACGGGGCTTGGAGCAACCTGGGCTGGTGGGAGGTGTCCCTGCTCAGGGCAAGGGGGGTTGGAACTAGATAAGCTTTAATATCCCTTCCAACCTAAACCATTCTATGATTCTATGACGTACTCACCTTTTTTCCGTTCATCTGCGGGTTGACTGAGTTTCCAAATATCATGAATTCTGCTCAGGCCAAAACGGGCAAGCCCCTAAACCAGACAATAATTTATCTTAATATACAGCAGTAAAGGTGCTGTCTAGAGTTTCTAGATAAGCTAACAGGGCCCAGCGGTTACTGGTGTTAAGAGGATAACCTTCTTAATAATAAGAATAAGGGAATAAGGGAAACATGCTGAAGATGCAGAGCTGGTTTCCTGAAATCCCTGGAGCTGTAGCACAATCAAAGGCAGCCGAAAAAGCAGTGATCCAGCCCGCTCTGCAGACGGACAGATGGACAGCAAGAAGAGAACAGGACGCTGTCTGATTGGCATTGTAACACAGCTACAGCAGAATTTTACACTCCAAGACTTTTCAAAGAAAAAAAAAAAAAAATTTCTAAAATGTTTTCTCTTTTGCTAACAAAAAAAAAAAAAAAGTTCAGGTTTTGGTCATTTTAGCTTTTAATAGCCACGTATTGCTTTGTAAAATTAACTTTAAAAGTCTGTTGTGCTATAAACGCTGCTGGCTTATAGACTCCATGCTGTTTTATGGGAAAGCCAGCTCCAGGCACCTCTTTCCTGAAGTGATGGGCCACTACAATGAAGAAAAACTTGTTAAACTGACTGTAAACGTTTCTGTTTTAGCATAAGCCAAAACAAAAGGCTTTGCTTTGGCAATTTTTACTTTCAGAAAGTATTTCCCCCCGCCTTGTTTTTAAATTCAGTTTGTTTTGTTCCATCAAAAGAAGTGTCAGTCTGAACTTAGATTTATTCTAAACTGCAAAGGGAGGTGAGAATTTCAGTCCTGGGTAGACAATTCAAACACTCATTCCATTGTAATATACAGCTGTCCAGTGCAAAAAAGGTTAAGAACTTAAAATAGCAGCCTAAAATTCAAAAGACCAGGCTCATCCTCAAACACATACAGCATTAGGACAACCATTCATGTGCTTTAACATTTCTGGGTGCAGAACAACACCTCAAATTAACTCATAGGTATTTACTATTCAGAGTTTGAAGACTAATGATTTCTCTGAGGCTTCTGAAATGTGGATCCCTATTAAAACCTTCCTGCAATTCAAGCAGGTGAATTTCTGCAGATGTGTACACACGCACACTCTCCTTCTTAAGATACACGGGTGCTTTTTGCAAATTAAAATCTAGTGCAAACCTCAGAACTGTAGCTCCCTCAAGGGGTTAACATTCAGCATTGCTGAAAATCTCAACTCCCCTCACCAACAAGGCTGGTGAACCAACTTCCCGTGGTTTTCCTTCATGTATCGAGACAGGGACCAGACCATCACAGGACTGGAAATCAGGAATGAGCGCAGTCCAGCTCTCTGTGGCATCCACAAGCCCAAAGGTCACCTTCAGCTTCAATCATTGTCTTCATCTTTCAAGAGAGCTTGAAAAACGCTTATTCTCTCAGGGCACAGCCAACTGCTTTTATTGCTTTTTACAGACTGCAATTACAGCTGATTTTTATGTCCCTACTGCAGGAACACTGTGCCACTGCCGGCGGCCAAAGGCAGTCAGCAGAGCTCCATCTAATGCAAATATTTGCAGCAACTTGTTACAGCCGTATACCACTCTTCCCCAGTCCCATCCAGCAGACTGGAGCTGCTGCTGTTCTCATCTGAGTCTCATGAAAAAAGGGACAGATGAACCTAAAAAGGGAGCCTCACCCGCACAGATATGAGGAACAGCCGCTCCAAATAACCCTTCCCCAGCCACAACAGATTGCTGCTTTCTCCTTGAGTATTAGTTTTAAACCTGGCTGCTACAGACCACAGCAGATCAGCCTCATCTATTTCAAGACACACGTAGGTGTCGCTGCTGCAAGCGCTAACAGGCTTGGGGACTTGAGGTTGGGACGTGAAAGATGCAATTACCCCAATCACGTGTATTTTAATCAGTTTCTCTCTTCCAGTAAGTTTCACAGCATCCTCGAACACGTTAAAATTGCTTCGTGATAAGACTGTTATCTTCCCTTCCATGCTGCCTCTCACATCACCTGCATGACGAAATTCCCAGTTAGCCAGGGCAGTTAGTAAGTGGGCGTCAAAAAAACCCAAAGATCTTCATAAATCAGGATTCATCCTGAGACACTTTGTTTATTATGCAGTAGCTCTGTGACTCCCAGTGACTGAACAGAGCTGAACGAGCCGAGCGATGCACCAACATGACTTACCTTTTTGGTTTCCACCCACTAATGTCTTATTCCTGATGCTCTTGCAGACATCCAGGATGGTTGCTCCAACATAAGCTATTTCAGGACCAAATCTGAAGCTCTATGTGGAAAAAATGAAGGAAACGGCACGAAAAGAAGAGGAACTTGTTATAACCTACAAAAGTATTACTATGTATGGAACTAAACAATTCCCACAAACCTTCTGGACAAAATTTCTCTTAGAAAAAGCACCCAAAACCTCCCAAACTGTTCCTAGAAACCCTGGTCACCCTTCCCCATGGCGACAGGAAACGTGCTGTGAGGCAGGACTGTCATACAGGGCAAAACGCGGTTTCCAGCCTCTCCACCCAACAGTTGGCCACTGCCAAGACTTTTCCCCACTGCACGTCTGTCCTGCAGCAGGGCAGGGGCTAGAGGTGGTGGGACGGGAGCCAGGTCCCTTACTTGGCTGGGCTGCTGGAGAGGTGATGTACCAGAGCAGCAAGAGCAGGGCTGGGGGTTGCTCCTTACAGTTTCCTAACCTGTAGATCTGGGGCCAACAGTCAAAGCATGATGAGGTGAAAAAAAAAGTGATGGGACAAGAGGGAACGGGCACAAACTTGAGCATGGGAAGTTCCACCTAAATATGTGGAGAAACTTCTTTCCTTTGAGGGTGGCAGAGCACTGGCACAGGCTGCCCAGAGAGGTGGGGGAGTCTCCCACTCTGGAGACATTCAAAACCATCCTGGATGCCGTCCTGTGCAACTGCTGGAGGTGCCCCTGCTCTGGCAGGGGGTGGGACTGGGTGAGCTCCAGAGGCTCCAGAGGCTCCAGAAAGCCCAAGTTTCACTACCACCACGATTAAAAAACCCCAGCGCCTGGCTGAGCACACCACCTCCACCAGCAAAGAGAAGTGGAAAATCTTGTTACCCAAAAATGACCACAAGTGAGGTGATGCAAGGCTGGTCCCAAGGCTGTCACAAGATGTGCCACCGCAAATAAATGCTGTTCCCATGTGCCTGTCCCTGGCTCCTGCCCCTTGGCAAGGCTGGCATGGTGTAAGGAGAAAAGGCAGCTCAGGTGGATGGACGTTTTGGTGGCTCTTCTTGCTTAGGAGCTGGCGGCGTTGCTGTTTGTGTTGCTGTTTTAAGCCTATTCATTCTGCAAGGATTCCTAAAGGGAAGTTCTTTCCTTGTATTAGCTGTGAGAATTGTGTAGCCGTGTGGCTACTCAGGCCAAAAACCAAATCAGGGTGAGCTTTCCATTGGCACAGCAGCAGCTTAGATAATCCAGCCAGGAGTCACAAGCATCGCTTGTGCTGAAAGAAGGCGGGAGCTCTCTTTCAGGGCAAACACCGATCAGCTGAAGCTGCTCATGAAAATCAAGCTCTCAGCAGACAAAGAGGGCAGCAGATATCACAGAATGGTCAGGGTTGGAAGGGCCCTCTGGAGCTCACCCAGTCCCACCCCCTGCCAGAGCAGGGGCACCTACAGCAGTTGAACAGGACGGCATCCAGGATGGTTTTGAATGTCTCCAGAGTGGGAGACTCCCCCACCTCTCTGGGCAGCCTGTGCCAGTGCTCTGCCACCCTCAAAGGAAAGAAGTTCCTCCACATGTTTAGGTGGAACTTCCCATGCTCAAGTTTGTGCCCGTTCCCTCTTGTCCCATCACTGGGCACCACTGAAAAAAGCCTGTTCCCATCCCCCTGGCACTCTCCCTTTAAATACTTATAAGCATTGATAAGATCTCCTATCAGGTCAGTCTTCTTTTCGCTAAACTAAAAAGAACCAAGTCCTTCAGCCTTTCCTGGTAAGGCTGGTGGGACAGAGGTGGCAATGCCAGAGTTTGTACAGAGCTAGAAAAAAAGATTGTGTGTGCAGCTGGCAAATATGACCTCCTTAATCAACATGGGTTTATTTCAAGGAGGTCACTGCAAGAACAAAATTCATCTCCTTGCTTCTGACTCCTTCGTCTCTGTGCACGAGACCCACTGTCGTAACTCTGGCAATATGAGCAAGATGGGTATCTGCCTCTGCCCACTCAGCTGGAGCTGAGAACTAACCCAGAAAAGAGGGGATCTCCTTGAAATAAGCCATATACTAAGGTCTCTACCCCAGTATCCATTTTTCAAGCCAATATGGCTTTCCTGGTGATGGGATCACTCCACTAAGAAGTACAAAGGAGCTCTACAGCACTGAGTGTGAGCAGCAAAGCATGCCGCTAATCCAGGCAATGCAAACACTCCACGGTGACAAATGCAAGCACTCTCGCCTTCTAAAGAAGGACGTGGAACATTTTCCACTGCATTAGGAATCTGTCCAGGGAAGGACAGCAGCAAAACCTCATCTTACCTGTGTGAGGTAGTAGACATGGGTGTGAAGCACCGAGTAGAGGGTATTGACAGCGCCTCGGAAGGTATAGATCTGCTGGTGAGGGTCTCCTACGAGGATTATGCCACATTTTTGTGACAGCACAATATCCACGATGGCTGCAGGAAAACATCGGAGCATTAAGAGGAAGCCTGCTCATAAATCAAGAGTGAACTGTACAATATCTCTTGCCTGCATAGAGGCAAGATCTCTTGCCTGATGTCTCATGCCATGTACGAAGGGGTCAACACAGCTGCAGGAGGCAGCAAGCTGGGGAGAAGCAAAGAGAAGCGTGAAGCTGACTGGGAGCTCTACAAGCATCCTCCCGCTATTTTAGTCTGATGGTATTTTTTTCTGAACTGGAGCTGCACAGCCTCTTAATCCCACGCGTGTGAGCCAAGCACAAATCCACCACCCAGCCCAGGTGACCTGGATGTGCTTCACGTGTGCACAGTGACTCAGTGGACACCTCAGAGAGGCCTTCGGTCTACTTTGACTGAACCTGCTCGAGGCTCAGTCATGCTGGCAGAGCAACCACTTGCATCGTGCACAGCTGTGTAAGTACACCCAAACCCCTGCAAGGCCCAGTCTCCAGTAAGTACAGGTGGGAGATGGTCTGATGAAGCCTTTGAGCTGATTTAATATCTGCTGAAAAGACCAGACCTTCTTCTGCACCCCTTCTTTTGCACCTCAGCACACAGTTTGGTTCACTTAGGTCCCTTCACAGAACTGATTCAATTTGCTTTGCAACAGAGCACTACTCCCCATATCCCCGGCAAAGAATCACAGACTCACAGAACAGTCAGGGTTGGAAGGGACCTCTGGAGAACATCTAGTCCAACCCCCTGCCAGAGCAGGGTCACCTACAGCAGGTTGCACAGGATCGTGTCCAGGGGGGTTTTGAACGTCTCCAGAGAAGGAGACTCCACAGTCTCTCTGGGCAGCTTGATCCAGTGCTCTCTTACCCTCAAAGTAAAGAAGTTTTTCTTCACGTTCAGACGGAATTTCCCGTGTTCCCATTTGTGTCTGTTGCCCCTTGTCCTGTCTCTGGGCACCACTGAAAAGAGTCTGGCCCCATCCTCTTGACATCCACCCTTTAGATTGATGAGATCCCCTCTCAGTCTTCTCTTCTCCAGGCTAAACAGACCCAGGTCTCTCAGCCTTTCCTCAGCAGAGAGATGCTCCAGTCCCCTGATCATCTTTGTAGCCCTCCACTGGACTCTCTCCAGTAGTTCTCTGCCTTTCTTGAACTGGGAAGCCCAGAACTTGACACAGAACTCTGGCTGTGGCCTCACGAGGGCAGAGTAGAGGGAGAAGATGACCACCCTTGACCTGCCAACAGCTTTCTGCTGCGTGACTCGGGAATCCTCAGGATGGTGCAAGGAATGGACAAGACTTGAACCCAGTGCTGGGGTGGGATGGAGCAGGTCTGCGGTTCTGATAGCTGAACTACTTCATGTTTTGCCACTTTTGTGATAAACCATGTCCTTGGCTATGCTGGTGTTCTGTTTGTCTCTGTTAGCAGCAAAGCAATAGGAAAAGGGTCTGCAAGGCACGTCTGGATGCCCAAAGCAACCCCTCAAGCTGATGCACATGTACTCTTGTAGCCTGCTTACCAGCTCCCTTCCCAAATTTGCAAAGATCTGGGACCAAGCAATGGGTCAGTTATAACATTACAGCTGAGGGGCAGATTTATTTTTTTTTAATTGTGTTACTTCTCACACACCCCTGAGCACATGAACATCCTCTCTGTAAAGTGCTTAGGAAAGCTGCAGCTCTGTCTCCTGTCGCAACTCACCTGGCGTGCAGTCCTGTGCTTCATCGACAAAAATGGCATCATACCCTAAGAGCTGAGGCTTGCTGAGCTGCCAAAGTTTCAAATACCCTGAGAAAAAAAACAAGGCATGTCAATGAGAGGGTAATTTTCTCATCATAGAACACCGTGATCCTTAAAACAAGTCCCTTCTTTAAAAAAAGATAAATGTTTCTGGCCCTGCTTCTCGCTTGGAATTTGCATGACATTTGGAGGGGGTTGCAAAAATCTCCATTGCTCACAGATGTTGCTCTATCTCCCTTGGCTGTATGAAGCATGGAAAAAAAATACCACAAACAAACCAACCTGACTGCACTGGAGGAAGGCAGATACACTGATGATGCCAAAACTCTTAATGCACAAAGAAAACGACAAGGATGAAGGTCTTCCCCGGTACGTGCTACCTCTGGCACTATCTGCACACATGCTAAGAAGCAAGAGGAAAGGACATGCTGGCAGTGGCAGGGAATAAACGCTCGCTGTTAGCATTCATTCACCCACCGTCTCACCCATTATTTCTACAATTTTGCTGCCAATCACACACATCTGAATAGTTCCACCATTTTTTTGAGGCCCAACAGAAAAAAACAAACATACTTCCACCCTCCGGGCCTGTTTTGAGCTCCCTGGTGAGCTACTGGCAGGAGAAGAGGAATTTTATACTTTTTGATGTTCATGCCTGGTACACAGCCAGAATTAAGAAGTACGAATCCGTTCAGTTTTCTATTACAGCTCTTTATCTAAAGGCTATTTGACATCTGTAGTCTCTTACCATCAGAAGTCATCTTGTATTTCTTCTCTACGTCTCCGTCCAGCTTCTTCATGTTGCGCCATATCTCTTTTGCCTCTTCCACATTGATCTAGAAAGGGAAAACAGAAGGGTCTGGATAGATCGCTTTGAGCAGAAAAACAGTCCAGGCAGAGCAGATCTTGAAAGGCTTCTCTGAAGCCTTTCTCGTCCTACTTCTCTTCTTCTCCTCAACACAGTCTTTTCCAAATGCAGCCCCCTGAAAAGAACCTTTCTTTGGCCCCGCTATTAGGACAGTATAATACAAGACCCCCTAACCTCTGCACATTAATGCTTTGTGTTTATTTTGGTTTCTGTGAACAGCTTGCAAGGTGCTTAAAGGTATTTAATATTTTGAGGCTGTCAATGCATTCCCTGTCAGAAATAATGACTGCAAATTGGATTTCTGCTAGCTGGGCTGGATCTGATCGGATGTGATCAATGGGGAGCTGAAAGGCTAATTTTCTCCGCAACTCCAGCCCACGTTGTTTAAGTGTTGCTAAGATGTCTGTACTCTAAAAGAGAATTTTTGGGTTGGACTCTGCATCTCAAAATAACTTAAAAAATGTTTATTGTCTTTATGTGTAATATCACAACGCTGTTCAGGCACCGATATAAATACGTACAATCTCTTCTCTCTTTTTCTTGCAAGGAAGAAACATCTGCACTGAGCAGACAGTGACAACGTCCTCTCTAGAAACCAGCTGTGCAAGCAGGGAGAACAAACAAGCCCCAGTTCCTTTGGATTTGTCACCACAGGAAAAAAATATTTTGACAGTCAGATCTTACAGCTGAAGCACAAATACCCATGAACTACGAGAGATGTGGGATAGCTACAGCCCCTTCTAAACCTTGCAGCCCAAGTCTTGCTTCATCTCAGATACTCACTTTCTTTTCTACTTGACTGACAAGTTTTCTCTCGCCATGAGTATTTTTGAACCAAATAGGAGTGTGCTCCTCACAGATCTCTTCATCTGAAGAGGCAAAAAAGTTTTCAAGGGTCTGTGAGACTGTTTTCCCTCTTATGAACAGAGATTGTCCCTCGCGGTTCTGGATAAGCGAACTGATGGCGTAAACTGACATCTTGGAGAAGTTTAACTTGCCTTTTTCTTTATAGCTGTGCCACAGAAGACAAAAATAAGAGAGACACGTTGACATACGCATGAAAAACCTGTTGGAAGAGCAAGCTCGCTTTTGCTTCTCTTGCACACTAACGCTTACAGAAGCTCTGTTTTATACACCCACTTTGACCTAGTAATGGAATATCTTTAAAATCTGCACATATTTATCCCCACCACATTCCTGGTGGAAGCACAAACTTGTTCAATTTATAGATTTTATAGATGAAATGTCAAGCCAGAGATGTATGCCCACCATTCACCTCTGCAATTACAGATAGTTTTCAGAGCCAGGTAAGAGGATTCCCCTCTTCTTCCAGGTCGTGGCTCATTTTCCCTTCTGTCTGCAGTTTAGATGTGCCAACATAATTGGCCAGAAACTGTATCATTAGGACAATTCAGGTTAAGAAAACCCCTCTTCTGCTAAAGAAATGCAGAATTTAGAGTGGTTGTACCACTGAAGTGCAAATGGGAAATGTGAAAAAGCCATTCTCAGTGGCTTTCTATCTCCCTGTGGACTGCTCCTTGGCTACAAACACAGGCAGGATGAACAGCCCCCGGAACAGCACTGAGGCTTATGTTAGCACAGTCTATGCCAGAGCAGGGCAATGAGTCTGCTTCCCCAGGCTCATATGGATGCTGAAATCACTGGCCCATCCAATCTGAAAGAATTTGGAAACTGTAAATCACAGGCTGGCTTGACGCAAGTGAAAGAAATAATTTCCCCCATTATTTTTGCTTCCTCAAGTCCTGGAGGCTTACTTCAAAACCAGACCTTTCTTTCCTGACATGTTTTTTTTCCTTCTCCACTCTCCTTCAATGAAGGAATCTAAAATCACCACTTACTGCTTGCCGACACTTCCAAATGCCAACGAATGGAAAGTCTTGCACGTAACGTTTCTCGGGAAGACGCTTTTCCCCCTCTCTGCGACAGCTTTGTTAAATGTCACATAAAGGAAATTCAGATCAGCAAACTTCTCTGCATACTTCACCAAGGTTGAGGTTTTTCCTGTACCTGAAGAACAGAAGAAATTAAACAAAAAGCATCCAGAGTCAGGAATGAATGAATCCGCACACCTCTCACCAGCTTTACCTTCCCGCTCCTGCTGTCTGAACTGCACAGCAGGACTTTTTGCAGCTAATGCGAATTTATTCACTGACTCAACTGAAATCAGCAGAAGCTGCGGAGCAAAGCAGCTTTGAAAAATTACAGTCTGCAGCTTAAAAGCTTTAAAAAAATATAGAATTTTATCACCTAATATTCTAGAAGGTACTGGTTCTCTTGAAAGACAGCTTGGTAAATGAAATGTTAATATTGCTCTTTTGAATGATTCATGAGCTCATTCCCTTGTAAGATCTCCCACCAATGCTGGTCTCCTTTACTCCAGTTTGCTGGAGGACAGCATTGTCCACACCTCATGGCAAAGTTGTCTTGCTCACGGAGTGCCAATCACAACAGAAACCTGAGACAAGAAGGGCTCTGCACATTTCCTTCTTTGCCCCTTTTCCATATCCTCAACGATGACATACTGTGAGAGAACTTTGTCACTTTGCTGTTAATACTTCTGCCAGAGGACTCGTCAATGTTGGGCAAAGCAGGTCCCAGCACAGACCTCTGCAGGACTCCAGTAGTTACCACTCCCCATGAGGAAAACTGACCATCTGCTCCTACTTTTGCTTCCTAGCTTTTAACCAACTATTCACCCATGAAGACCATGAGGATCTTTTACCATTTTGCCTGGGACAGATATTGGGCTCTCTGGTAGATTGCTCCCACGTCACCCCACAACTCCACTGCCACGGTCACTTTCAGCAAGAAGTCACGCTCAGCTACTGGTTTGGCCACTTCACCCTTAAGTTCCTTTACATGTCCTTCACCCTTAAGTTCCTTTACATCTCCTGGGTGATGCAGTCCAGATCATGAAACGAACAGTACCAATGCATATTTCATCCACAAACTTTCCCATGTGAATGCAAGGTCGACCCTGCGGTGGACCCGCTATAGAGAAGGATTCCGAGGCTGATCCTTTCCAAGACCTTCTACGAGGAACACAGATGCATAAACACATTTCGATTTTCTGCCACTGCATCGTTTACTCTAAGGCATCCTTTACACTGCAGTTAGCTAACAGATGCTTTGGCAAGCGTCCTCATCCACATGTTTGAAGGATTATGAGTCTTTTATACTTTTTGCCAGCTGCTCCTCAAGCTCTTTTTCTGCCCTGCCTCGTTGGGGTTACACATAATCTGTCAAAACTCACAAATGTTCCCAGTTTTGTCATTTGGACACAATGACTTTGTACAGACACAAGAAACCACTATTAGTTCCTTCTGTACTGTGGTGCTTAGCTGTATGCGTCCTTTTGCAAGCCTGTTCTGGCAGAGAGCACTCATTAGCTCCGAGTCCCCAGTGTGGCGTCTTTAAAGGAAACTCTCTGCAGGTGGAGGGAGATGATTTACTTTTTCTTTTCTTTTTAAAAAGGCTCCGTCAATTTTATGCACTTCCCCTTTTCAAGACAGTGCACAAATGCAGCCGTTTTCTTGGGTTCTGTTGCCAAGGATGCTAAATATAAACAAGTAAGAGCGACTCCGTCTAGTGGCCTGTGGAAAATAACAGGTTCAGCAACACGGAGAGTTGCTTCTTCTCTCCTGGGTTCCCGACAAGTTTCTCTGGGCAGTCATTGATAGCGCCCAAGCACTTGTTTTTCATATTGTGTCCGATTGTGACATTTACCCAGCTTGCTTTACCCACCATGCTTCCCATTCCTATTTCTCTGCAAAAACTTGCTCTCATGTTTTGTGTTGATTAAAAGCAAGGCTGACCCCCCTGGCATCCACACAGTTCCTTGACAGAGGAAACAGGGAGGGAAGGAACAGCATTAGAGGTTATGCATTTAGTCTTACAACATATTTTTTGGCTCTTACCTGCAAATGCCATAATTTTCACTATTTGACCATGCTCAATTTTGTGATTCAAAATCCTTTGCTGTTCGTGGGTCAGCTTTACTTCAGGCCAGCTACTAAAACCAGAAAAAAACAGAGTAAAAGGGATTAAGGAAAAAAACCCTCCCACATAAAACAAACAAATCGACCAACAACAGAAGGAAACCAATGAATGATTTATCCCGTCCCACAAGCACAAGCAGGAAGGCAGCACTGGAGCAACTTGGTTATTGTGCAAATGAGAAAAGCAGGGAACAAAAGAAGATAGAAAAAAAAAATAAATTTAAACCTTGGGGAAGGTTACATAGGAAAAGACCTTCTCCGGGGCCCTAAGCCTTGCTTTAAAAATGAATTTGGCACCCTGGCTCCTTAGGCTTATTGAAATAAACAGTGATTTGGGTTTGGGGCGTTTTGTTGCTTTCAAGAGCATGTACCTTAAATTGCTCTCCGGTCCCTATGCATGTAGGACAGATCAATTATTCCTGCCTCTCAGGGGAGCCGAGAGCTTTGATTAACATTAAGAAAGGCATTCAGCGCTTCTGGCTGGAGTGCAATTGTTTTATTCATAAAGGTCTGAAACCTGTCATCAGCCAGCAGTGCGAACCATCTTTTTGCACAGGGTCCTCGCCGATACCACGCATAGCGGCGGAAAACCTTGTTTAAGTATCCTTGACATTTCACAGGGTGCAGTTAGGTGGCTGCCCCTAGGACGCATCTTTTACTGAACAAGCAAAATCTGCTCAGAAGAAGACTTCAAATGGAGGGGTGGAACAAAAGCGCTGGGAAACCAAGAAGCCCTGAAACCCAACAACTGTTTACCTGTGATTTTTTTTTTTTGTTACGGCTTCTCTCACTGTTGCACCTCAGATCATCGGTGATTTTATTGGATTTATCTTTGCTAGACCTCTCTGATGGATGAAAGCACTACTATTCCCCTTCTGTAGGTAAGGAAAAGCAAACTAAATGACTCAACCCAGGGTAAATGTGGCAGAAAGGGAACCAAGCCTGGATCTCCACAGGTCAGGAAAGCATTTCACTCCTTACTGTCCTTCCTTTCTAGGCAGCAAGCTACCAACCAATGCTAATTTCTAACAGCTATATATATAAGAGTTAATATATAACAGTTATCCAACAGGGTCCAGAAAACAGGAGTCAAACCAATATCCTGCAGCTGGTATCTCATTTCCTCCCGTGTACAGAAAGCGGTGTTCATAAATGAACGACCACATTATTTGTGCTACAGTAACATCCCCAGCAAGCCAGCCTCCATTTTGGCGGACTGCAGCTTGCGTTTCTACAGGAAAATTAAAGCGGGCACTCTCTCCTCCTTCCAAAGCTTCTTATCCATAGGGAGAGTGGTGATTTGGGAGGGTGTTTTGGGGTGATTTGGGCTCTGTGAAATTTCAGTGGCCATCACACTGGAGCGCACAGAACTGTGTCCTACTAATACGTAGACACATTGGTGAATAATGACTTTTAAATTCAGTCAGTGCTTGGTAAGTCAATTTTTACAGATTTAAGGCCTGATTCTGGTTTTCCTCTGAGAAGTTGTGTAGAAGATGGCCAGGAGCAGAATAAGGTTTTGTACTAATTGTTATGAATCTCAGAGTCTTGTCAACCAGCCCCTGCCATGAAACGTTTGCTCCCCCTCCAAGGTTCAGCACTCCACCAGGGCCCTGTGTGTACGTACTTATGAGCATTGCTCGGATCACCAAAAATAACGTTACCCAGACCAGAAGTCTTGTCTGCAGCGTGCCGCCAGTGTTTCCTCTTCTACTGTCTGCAGAGTTACAGAAGTATTTTCCATCAGATACAAGCAGTAGAAAATATTGTAATGGATCCTGGTAGAAAGGACAAAAGAGAAACTACCATTGAGAAATCATCAATAACAAATTAAACATCTGCAGCCACCTAAAAGACCGCCAATATCTTGAATACTTCTAACAGAACGATGCATGAAGCTTCGAGCGCTCAGGGAGTTGCAGGAGACAATATTCATATTTTAAAGTGCAGTTAGTTCTACCTTGAAAAGTGACTGCAAAGGCACCAGCTCTGTTTGTGGCCTCTCCCTCACTCCCGCTCGGTTTGTATTTCAGGGTCCGCCACACAAATGCGACCTGGGATTAGAATCCACAGGATCCTTTTGCTCTCCTGAACCAGAGACTGGAGGAGCCTGAGAGAGAATTTGGGCTAGTTTGGGCCTCTAAAGTGAACCAGTTTCATCAACTGTCTTATTCCGATTCTACACAAAGGTGTTATCCCTGACAATACTTCATGGTGCTTTGTTACTGCAAAGAGAGGAGCACAGATACTCTGCGGCTTTAATTACGTCGTCAACAGCTGGTTTAAAATTAACCTCCATCCTACATCAGGGTTGACACCACTGTGGTTTCACCTCAGCAGCTTTTTACCTGCAGCTTTGTTCCTGTGAGTTAACAGCTGCCCCAACAGGCCACGCTGCAGGACTTCGTGTCTCACCCCAGGTGACCTGCATGCTCAGACTCACTAGTTGCTCTAGGAGCTGCAAATAGGTATCAGACAGTTCCTCGAGGACATGTTTCCTCCTTATGCCCTAAATTACAAACCTTGTGGGGTTTGATGAAATAATGGCAGAAGAAACATGGTCATTCCTATTTCTTCTAGTCTAGATTGTTCAAGGAGATGGAGATGGACATGGGTGACTTCGACCACAGGCTCTTATTGCTAGCGAGTGACACCCTCTGTCTGCCACATCTTCAGTGGGTGTTTACTCAAGTTAATGACCTTAGCCAGCAAATATCAATCACTAAACATGATGCCAAACAAGCATCCTGATTTCCCTGGTTGGTAACCTGAGCACATGGCCCATGGCTGAGCAAGCAGAGGATGAACCATTCTGCCGAGTCTAAGACAGGTCAGACTGTATCTCACAAAGGGCAGCTTGTAGAACCATCTTCTTTCTGGTGATAGATTCCTTTTCTAGTGCATCTCCTTTCCAGTCTTCTCATAAGAAGAATTTACATAGAATCAATCATAGAATCATAGAATGGTTTCAGTTGGAAAGGACCTTGAAGATCATCAAGTTAAAAACCCTCTGCCCTGGGCAGGGTCACCTTCCACCAGCCCAGTTTGCTCAAAGCCCTATCCAACGTGGTCTTGAACACCTCTGGGCATGGAGCTTCCACAACTTCTCTGGGCAACCTGTTCCAGTGCCTCACCATCCTCGTAGTGAAAATTTCTTCCTAATATCTATTCTAAATCAACCCTCTTCCAGTTTCAAGCCATTCCCCCTTGTTGTATCACTACATGCCCAGCTCTCCTGTAGCCCCTTTAGATACTGGAAGGCCGCTATAAGGTCTCCCCGGAGCCTTCTCTTCTCCAGACTGGACAACCCCAACATGTGTCCTTAATCCTCATCTCATCCTCACTGCAATTCTGAAGCAACCTGTGGGTTCTTACCTACATTACGAGGCACCTCTCTGAACAAAAGGCACGGGACAGATTGCTACGCACATGCAATGGGTGCCCATGGGACTTGTAGTGTGACTTAAGAGGAGAGAAGGGAGTAACTGGTCTCAGGAAAGTAATAACTGCATTAAATTGTTGCAGCTGATGTGTATTTACTTCTATTCAGAAAGTTTCTACAGTTGCTTTAAAACCTGCTTTTGTTTCTGAAAAACATTATTTTCCTTGAACACTACTTCCCAAAAAACAAGCAGGCTATGAAACAGTCTAGGAATGAAAGTAAATTTAAAGGCAACGCTCCTCAAAGTTTCTGCAAAAAGCCAGGGATGTGCACACTGTTCCTGACAAACTACATGCACCGAGGAACTGAAGAGTCCTGAGCAAGAGGAACATAATTGCTCCTGAGCATATAATCACTGTATATAGAATCATAGATCATTTAGGTTGGAAAAAACCTTTAAGATCGAGTCCAGCCATCAACCTAACACTGCCAAGTCCACCACTAAACCATGTCCCTAAATGCCACATCTACACGTCTTTTGAATACCTCCAGGGATGGTAACTCAAACCCTTCCCTGGGCAGCCTGTTCCAATGCTTGACAACCCTTTCCACGAAGAAATTTTTCCTAATATCCAATCTAAACCTCCCCTGGTGCAACTTGAGGCCGTTTCCTCTTGTCCTATTGCCTGTTCCTTGGGAGAAGAGACTGACCCCCCTTGCTACCCCCTCCTTTCAGGGAGCTGTAGAGAGCGAGAAGGTCTCTGCTCAGCCTCCTTTTCTCCAGGCTGAACACTCCCAGCTCCCTCAGACTTGTTCTCCAGACTCCTCACCAGCTCTGCTGCCCTTCTCTGGACATGCTCCAGCCCCTCAATGTCTTTCTTGTAGTGAAGGGCCTAAAATATGTATTACATATCACCATGCCTAGAAAGAGGCAGGCAGGAAGCATCTCCCCACTCCTCACCTGTTAGTGATCGCAATGTTCCTGTCCCTCATTGCGTACAGCAGCGTGGCTATGCAGTAAAGTGTCTCAGTCACGTCCACAACAGAGAGGGTAGAGTCGGGTCTCTGTAGACATGCCATCAGCTTTTGGATGTCGCTGACACCATCAGAGAAAAGCACCATGACTGTGATTATGGCCCACATGTTCTCAAGCTGGTATAGGCAACAACAAGAAAGCGTGAGCAAAAAGCTTTGAGCCTTTAGGAGCAGGGAAAACCTGCTTCAACACTGAAAAAATACTTATGCCATGAGGAATAGTTAAATCCTCTTCAGTCACCCCGAAAAGTACCAAATAACACTCGAAAGGGAAAACTTTAAACGCAGGAGGGCAGATATGATCTTAAAGCACCAGCAGTTAAACCTTTTAAATAAACGAGTTAATAGATGTTAAACCTACCCCCGCCCTGCTCTGTAAATGCGGCAGTTTGTTGGTGATGCAGACTTCAGCCTTTAAGAAGAGATGATGACTCCTCAAACACCGGAGAACCACACTGGGATCTACCTTCCGTCCGGTGGATATGGCAGACACGCACCTGCGCAGAACGGGAACAGCAGCATTCGCAAAGAAGCCTTATCAAGTGAGTTTATTCTCCAAGTAAATAATGCCTTCTCCACAGTACCAGCAGTCAGGCTGCAGCAAGTTTATGCCTTCCTGTGTGCCCCACAGATTTGACTGACGCATTCAGCGATGAGGCTGCGAAATGCCGAACTTGGATTTCCAACCCTAGGTTTTGTGCCCAGAGCCATTTAGACAAGTAATTCCCAGCTCTGTTACACAGACTTGTGCTTAAATACTTTTGCTGCATCAAGCCCTTAGTCTGCAAGTTCATCCTGGCTGTCTTGAAGTCTCCTTCCAGAAGACAGGTCTACCTTGCTCTTAATCAATCTGACTCTTCTCCTTGCACCACCTAACTGCCATACAAAATTGTCTTCTAGACTAGAGAGATCTGAACAGAGCGCTTGCTTTTACCAGCGACACATCTGGAGCTTGGGCTTGCTGCTGAGTTGTGACTGATAAGTCAGTGCGGGTCCAGGAAAGCAGCCTTTCAGGAAAGGAAAAGAAGAAAATACACTGGAGATAGGAGGGACTAGGAAGAAGAGCTCACACCCTCTACAAGATATTTGTGTTTTAGCTAAATCCAAGAGACGCTGAGCCTCTCTGAGACACTGGCTGATCTGGAGATGGAAAAGCAGTGCTGACATGACAGATCCTGAAATGTAAAGGGATGCTAAAAGGGGCACTTAAATTGAGTCTCACTCTCTGCAGCAGTCACACATAGTCACATCGTCACAACTGTCACACAGTCACAGTTGCAGGAAGCAACCATATAATGCCTTCTCCCAAGCTTGTTGATGGGTGCCAGAGGGCAGCAAGCGAGAGGACAGCCCAGTCTTTTTTGATTTTGTCATCTAACACTTGTCTTGGAGCTCCCAGCTCCTCTCATTGCTGTACCCAACCTGGCTGTGCTCTGACATAGAGGTCCATCTCTGAAACCTTCCTTTGAGCCTCCAAATCCAGCCTGTGGAAACCTTGCAGCTGCTTGCTGACACCCTCTTGTTCAGGGTCTCCTCACCTCTTTCCTCCTTTGATGCAACAACCATCTCCGCGCCCTCCAAGAGGCAACACCATCCAAGTCAAAAGGCCACCACCAAGACTGTTCTTCTGCCCCCTCTTCCCAGTCCATATTCAGCTTCTCAATCTCCGCAGACATCAGTACAAGGCTATTCCTGCCCCAGGCTTTGCAGCTTCTCCCTCCCTTATCCATCACTTCTCACTTGCTATGAAAATCAGGGAAACTGCAGAAGGGAATTTGGAAGCCATGTGCTCAAAGCCAGGACAACTTCAAAGTTTAGTCGTTTGTCCAGTTGAGGTTTGAGCACCTCCAAGGATGGAGATTCCCCACCTCTTTGGGCCAATGTTTGACCACTCTCCTAATATCTAACTGGATTTCCTACACCATAACTTGTGGCCATTGCCTCTTGTCCTCTCACTGTGCACCTGCAAAAAGACGTTGGCATCATGCTCTCTACAGCCCCCTCAGTAGGCAGGGGAAGACAGTAATTAGATCCCCTTTCCACTTTCCCTTCCCCAGATTTCATCCTCTACTTGTGCATCATGTGCTCCCGATACAACAAAGAAGAGGAAAGAAAAGGGGGTTTTACCTATTTCCAGAACCCTATCAGTTATTTCCACCATTCCTTCCTCATATTCCTGTACATCTCCCACCCGTTTAGAAGACAAACCCATTTCTCTCCTGGCAATTCAGAGGATAAAATAGAAGAAGACCCAAATCAAGGAAGATCTGAGTATCTACTGATGTATGCTGGTTTTGGCTGGGGAAGGGTTAATTTTCTTCATAGTAGCTACTATGGGGCTATGTTTTGAATTTGTGCTAAAACCAGTGTTGATAATGCAGAGATGTTTTTGTTACTGCTGAGCAGTGCTTACACAGAGTCAAGGCCTTTTCCGCTCCTCCCCCTGCCCTGCCATCGAGCAGGCTGCGGGGGGCACAAAAAGTTGGGAGGCAACACAGCCGGGACAGCTGACCCCAACTGCCCAAAGAAATATTCCACGCCATATGACATCATACTCAGTATATAAAGCTGGGGGAAGAAGGAAGGGGGATGATGTTCAGAGTGACGGCGTTTGTCTTCCCAAATAACCGTTACGCGTGATGGAGCCCTGCTTTCCTGTAGATGGCTGAAGACGTGCCTGCCCATGGGAAGCAGTGAATGAATTCCTTGTTTTGCTTTGCTCAATGCGCAGCTTTTGCTCTACCTATTAAACTGTCTACCTCAAGCCACAAGTTTTCTTACTTTTATTCTTCCAATTCTCTCCCCCATCCCAACTGGAGGGAGCAAGAGAGTGGCTGTGTTGTGCTTAGTTGCTGGCTGGGGTTAAACCACGACAAGGTGTAAAGTCAAGTGCTGAAGCAGACTCACCTGATCAGCCCCAAAACACACTCTTCCTGCTCCTTTGTTATGGCGAAAACCTGCAAGATCTGTGCAACTCTGTGCAGGGCCATGGCCTCCTTCATTACGTACTGGTGGTACAGCTTTTTCCAAGGAATGAACTAGAATATGAAGCACATATTACCATTTTTCATCTCACAGCATTGGAAAATAGGTTTCTTCTGGAAATAAGCTAATCAACATGACTTCCAAAGACGACCTGGTGTTCAAAAAGTCCCTGTAGCTTGATGGAAACAGGTATCTAGCATGAGATGGGAAAGGAAAGAGGAAACAGAGGAAAAAGAGAAAAACTTGGTCCTCATGGCCTGCAAACTTGTCTATTTTTGGCTGTTTTTTCTCAAATGATGGGAGCAGGGTGATAGTGGTTCAGTTTCAAACATCAAAGCATTAAATGAATGAGGATATTTTCAGCACTATTGCACAGATCTACTCTGAGCGGGGTTCGAGTGCTTAAAACCCCTGTGTCCATGAAGCCCTACCCTCCCACAGTCTGCTGCTTGGACTTCTTTGGTAAAAACAGACAGGGCACTGTCTTTTAGGCTGTGTTACAGAGTGAAGAACAGATTTGGGAGAGGACTTGAGCACACTCAGCATTCAATGCATGCATTTTCTATGCATCTTTCTAGCTCTTCAGGCTCAAAGCATGCACACTGTGCTGATAAAGCGCTGAGTGCAGGACACCTCCTGCATTGTTTCCAGCCTTACCCATCCTAATTTATTGGAAGAGCATGAACAAGAACTTAGACCCCGACAAAAACATGGGCTGTGATCAGTCCCCCACCACTCTGAGACACCTTCTTCAGACAAGCCGAGGATTTCCAGCGTGGACAGTGAGAGAGTCTAGTGGTGCCAGCTGTTTCCAAGCCACCTTAAATTGAAATGCAGAGATCCTCTCTGCAGCCAAAACAACTGCCAGTGGGTTCACGACTGTTTGTACTGCGACAGCCTTGACTGCAGATGAACCACACATTCACAGGCTGGGGAACAGTGACGTACACTGGCCACGAGAGGACACTGCCCTGTCTGGTAGCCAGAATTTTCTGCATGACCCGTATCAGGAAAAAAAGTTGCAAGGAAAACAGTGAAGGGGGATTTTGTGGAGCCTTCCAGGATGCTCTCTTTCCACGTATGGGAAGAATGCATCAGTGGAAGTTACCCTAATATTGATTTTCTGATACAGGTTGGCATCTGAAGATGCCACTGTAGTCCTGAAGACCAAAAAATGACAAAAGACCTCATAAGAAAGGATGTGGCATTAGGGAACAATAAAGGGATTTAAAAGAACAAAAAGAGACAGACACAGCATGGATGCTCCTACAGCAATGTATGCAGCAACAAGACTGAGACAGAACAGAGCAGCAGGAGAAGGGACAGGTTCAAATCAATATCACAGCAGTCCTTACCAGTGGATCACTGACTATCGCCCTCCAGCAGCGACACACCAGGCTCAGGTTCTGATACAAATCAGTCACTGGTAGGAAAGCAAAGATGTGCCTCAGGACTTCAACAGGCAGCTCGTCAATACTTCCCTGAGGCAATTCCCAGTTCCGAGTCCCCAGGAGTCCGTAGTGTGCATCAGGGACCGGTTCAATTTCCATATCGTCAAGTTCCTGCTTGATCTGGCTGTGTTCTGGATGAAGCACCATTGGCTTCTTCTCAGGCTCACCCCACAAATCATGCTCTGGCTTGCAAACACCTGCAGCTGCAGTGGACAGAGGCCGTTTTCTGGAGCTTTCCCTGGGAGGAGGTGCAAGGTCCTCATCCTCCAGAAAAGAGCAGGAATCGCTGCTGATCTCCACCACAGTGGAGGCATCGCTGAAGGAATCATCAGGGTCAGTGAAGATGGGATCTGGTAGCTCTTCTTTGATTCTACTGCTCTTCGTCCCACCAGCACCTACTTGTTGTATCTGAGAGATCCTGAAGTAATCAGTGATGTTCTTCTGCTGACCTTGGCCTGCAGAAAGAGGAAGAGCATGAGTGAGGTCAACAAAAACAAGCACAAAGCGTGCTACTCCTAACTGAGCTAACAAGGAGACCAGAGGCTGTGTAAGGCGGTGTAAGGCGGTAATCATTTCCACAGGGTTCCTCACAGAAAAACAAGGAGACCAGAGGCTGTGTAAGGCAGTAATCATTTCCGCAGGGTTCCTCACAGACGTATGAGCTTATGACAGGTGAACTGTCCTGCTCCATATTGCTTCTCTGGCAACCTATGGAAGTCAACAGAATAACATTCATCTTTGCACCGTCCACATAACCTGGACACTCTCAAGGTACATCTGACACCTCCACTAGCTTCTAGAAAAAGATACGGTCTGCATAACAATCTCTCAGATCAACAATTCTTAGCTACATAACACAGCAGATGTGTGTTAAACAGAAACACAGCTGCAGAATGAATTTCATGGGAGATATTTCCACTGGCCAAAGAAACAGAAATAGGAAGGAAACAAAATGCAAGACTTGAGTTGTTGTGGTGTGCCTCAGAACAAGGTTGGGCTCCCAGCAGTTATTTATTGCTCTTAACCTGGTGAACGAGAAAAACACTAAGATTTAAGAGAGGCTTCAGAGTGCTTTGCACCATTAGAAGGTCACAGCACCAAGCCACTAGCAGGCTGCTCCTACCACAGTGTAAGAGAGACCAGTGCCTTTAAGATGATAAAAAGCCATTTCTTGCCAGATATTTCCTGCCTGCAATGTCAAAAAGCACTGGAGATCATAAAGGAAACCAAAACTTGGCAAGAGACTACTCTCAGCAGACTCTCCTTCCTCTGACAGCCACGCAGGCCATGCAGCACACAGACTAAACATACCAGCACTGATAGGATTTATTCTGTCCTGCTCCTAGTCTGCAAAATATCGTGATGCTTAGCTAAGAAGCAACTCGAGAAGAAGAAAATCACAAGCACCTACTGCTGATTTTAATGCATTTTATTTCTGATGCTCATGAAGGCATAGCTTAAGGAGGTCTGATTTGCAAGATACTTGCTGCTTAAAAGGAACAGCTCCCCTGCTAATGTTCGAGTCCAATACCCTAAAACCTGCAGCATCTAAGATTACTGGATGTTTTAAAGTGAGATAGTCAAAGACATCACTGATATGAAAATGGAAAAGAAAAGTACACCTACGAGCACTGAGTCTATGACTCCGGTGTCTTGTCCTGGCTCACCAGCAGACATTCTCTGTAAAGTGAGTCAGCTCACACCAAGGCGCACAGATATTCCCATGAATATCTGAAATGCTCTGAAGTCTCACCTTCCACAGTGACCAAGGCACTCAGGAGCTCAGGAATAACTCAGGATGTTTTTTCTTTGCTTTCTACCTGTCTCCTCACCCACACGTGTGTGTAGTGTCTCTCGTCATTACACAGGGTTTGAGGCTGGGCCTTTAACCCCGCACCATGCGCTATCTGAAAACAGCTCTCTTGCTTTCAGTTTGAGCCCTGAGCCCTGTTGTGTGCAGATTAGCTCAAAGTCTTATCAATCCTCAAAAGCCCTCTAAGGCTTTGGAATTTTGAGACCCGTGTCTACGAGTTGTCACAACGTTTCTCCCACCCAGGAAAGTCAAAGATCGTTAATATCTGTTAAATGCTCAACAACACTTTTGCAGTCCTATATAACTAGACAGTTCATTATTATTTAGTAAGTATCCTAAAGAGCATCTAGAAGTAGGAGTCACATCATTAATAGTGCCTAATTGCAGAGGCTGTAGTGTTTCTCAGGGAGAGCTGCTGTTCTCTCCACGTAGTCTCCGACAGCTCAGTGACAGAGACATGGAGGAATTTCTGGTGTGAGGAGAGACTAAACACACACACAAAGGTGAACTCGCTCCCCCATACAGAGCAGTATTCATGGTATCTCTTTTTCTTGCCACTTGACCTTGTGGAGGTGGAGATTAAGCCCAGTTTTGCCATGCACCATTCAAACCCAACCAATTTCTTCTACTTGCACTCCCCTCAACTGGCATCACTCTCCTATCAGCACAAATTTGACAATGGATTACTTTCACTCCACACCATATCAGCATTTTTCTCCCCCAAATCCCTCAGCCTTCAAAGTATTCGCAATTAGCGTACCTCCTTGATGTCTCCTTGTCCGGTGGGTGGGGTAGAGGCCCCTGTTTACATCTGATCTACTTTTTCTTTGACTCAATGGCTGCGTCAGGGGGGATGAACCTTCTGTGCTCCGTGCCAGAGCTTCGCAGTCATCAACTGTAAGGTGCGTTTTCTTGAATCCCTTCATTGCTTTGCCAACATGCAAAAAAAAGACCCCAAAACCGAACAGTTAGCAAACAATATATAAACCATGTCTTTTAACAGAGGCACAAATACACAGGGTTTTTTTTTCAGAGTTTTAATAGGACAGTCCCAATGTTTCAGCCAGGAGTTTCTCCAAATAAATCATAGCAGAAGGTACAACGCTCTGGTGAGGTGCTAAGGAGGGCAATGCATTGTGTCAGGGCGACACATCTGCAGTCACTGCAACAGCGTCTTCACCCCAGATCCTCATTCCTGCATTGTACGAGGCTTCGGAACAAAAGAGGACGATGTAAAACCAGAATCTGTGCAATTTTTGCAGCTTTCTCTACAATACCATAACACAGAGGAAGCAGATACAGGCATTTGTGTAAATGCAAAGTATCGTTAGGAGGACGTCGAGGAAGCCTACAGAGGCTGAACTGCGCAAACATCTGTGAGAGATGACTGTGACTTGCCTGGGGAAGGTCAGAGCTAACATTTAAACACACAAACTCGAGCCTCTCGCAAACAAATACAAGCTGGGATCCTCCATTAAGGAGGAAACGCAACCCACTTCCAGCACAGCTCTTCCCCGCGAGGACAGTTAAGAAGCAGCATAAAACCACCCGAAGAGTTATTTTAAGAAAGCCTTACTTGAAATCTGCATGAGCTCCTCTTTTCCATGCACAGGATGACCAGCAGAAAAAGTACAAACAGTGCAACTTGTTTCTACCGAAAATGCTCCCGAGAAACCTGAAACCACAGCATGGGACGGGCTTCCTTCTAATAGGAGAATTATCTGCAAACACCACTCACGCAGTTTCACTGTTATTTTATTACTACACTGTGCTACGGCGGCTAAGCTCCTCTAACACTTATGGCAGCCACGAAAGTAATCGACTGATCTCGCACAGCAGGATCCAAGGGCCACTTTGTTTCATTACGCTGCTTCCTCCTTTTCATCCACGTGAGCTCAACAGGGTGGCATTAAAAGCACCCACTGAGCTCCCCGGGGAGGCTGTTTTCTAACATTCCATGCTCCTCAAAACACAGCAAACGAGGCAAGCGGAAGGAAAAAAGCAATGCAAGACAGTCCCATGGCACTTAGGGACATGGTTTAGTGGTGGACTTGGCAGTGGTAGGTTTATGGTTGCATTTGATGATCTTAAGGGTCTTTTCCAACTGAAATGATTCTATGATTCTATTCTATGACTCTACTTAAAAATGCTACTTCTCACTTGAAATTGAAAAGCTTATTGGATTAAACAGCACAAATCATTGAAGTGTATCAATTCTCTTGAGCACACGGTCCCGGCAAATGTCAGAGCCGACGTACCAGCTCTGTGCCCATTCCCGCAGCTGCTGGACACAGAAAATTCTCACACGAGATCACATGAAGGATTTGGGGCAAAACCTCTGCTCCCCCATCCCATGACAGCAAAATCCCCGATGTGTCAGGACCACGGCACAGGGTTCAAGTCCAGAAAACCAACACAAGAAGATAACCGGCTCAGGCTTCACCTGCATTCATCTTTTCTCCCTTTCCCCATGATTTTCCATCGGCGACAGCAGCAGAGACACAAGCGCTGAGCAAAGGTTGTGTGGCAGTGCCCCGTCACGGTTTATGGCGTTGATCACGTATGGAACGTGACGGGGAGTGGAGCTCGTCAGCCACGAGAAGACACTCCAGCTGTGAAGCGAAAGGATCAGCCATGAACAGCAGCCACGGAGAATAGGAGAAGCTCCAGGGGAACAAGAAATATTTGGGAGAAGGTGGGAGCTGCTCCCCCATCTGCCCCCAGCACGTTGTTTACAAACCATTTCCCCACATGGATGCCGCCGGCCTTGTGCCCCCCAGCATGGCACCTGTATGGGGAGACCCCTGGCAGCCCAGGCCCCCCCTGCGGCTACCCCACACTGGCCCAAAACAGCCCCCTCATTGCCAGCCCCTGGCCTGCTGCCTCCGCAGCCAAGGGCCCTTCCTCCTCTGTCCCCCATTACCAAGCCCCCCTCATTGCCAACCCACACACCCCCCCCTCATTGCCAAGGGTCTCCCCCATTGCCAAGCTCATTCTATTTGCCAAGGGACCCCCCATTGCCAAGGATCTCCTCATCGCCAAGCCCCCCCCATTACCAAGACCACCTCCAATGCCAAAGGTCCCCCTCATTCAATGCCCAGAAGCTCCCTCCCACTACCAAGATCTCCTCCCATTACCAAGATCCCCTGCAATGCCAAAGATCCCCCTCCCTCAATGCCAAGAAGCCCTCCCCATTACCAAGATCGCCCCCACTGCTAAGGCCCCCTCATTACCAAGGGTGTCCCCCCCC